TGTTACAGGCTGCATGTTGAATAGAGAGGCTGCATTGGAGCAGATAAACTGTGTATAAATAGGATAAGAAGGTCACTATGATAAACCGTAAACAGAACTGAGAGCGCCTTATAATTTACTGACATCTGCCACAAGCATACGGTCGTGACTCTGATTGCTATCAGCTAATGTCCATCTGAGAAAAGCAGAGAAGCTTCACAGGAACTGATGTGTGATAAATGAAGCCAGTGTCCGCTCATTAATACTGGCTGATAAGTGTTTCTAGAGAAGCTGAAATGAACAAATAAGATCATTTTTGCACTGCTTGCAGCTAAAATTAGAGCAGTCTTACTGAGAACCATTAAAGCTTGTTGAGCTAGGAAGAAATCTGCAGTTTAGTCTCCTATCTTTGACAAATTTCTAAACTTTACAGTCTGCAGCAGTGAGAATAATGGATGAGGCAATAAATGGCGGGATGGACCGGAGAGAAGGTGCAGAAACAGAACCTTCACACCCATGCTCTGGGGTACAGAAACAGGGTTAAAGGTATTCCTGAAGACCTGGACAGCTCCGCTCTGATGCTGTTCAACATGCCTCCAGCTGTGGCAGACGTTTCAAATAACACTAATACATGGTGTTCATATGTTTCAGTTTAAACCCCTGCTTCAAGCCAAAAGCTTTGGCCTCTAAACTTCTCAACATCTGATTTTTTTTTTTTTTTTTTCAAGGGGTGGGCTTCTGTGGGAACTGACTCACGCGTGGCACAACTGATGCAACACGCCGTCAGAACATTTCTGCTGAATTGTTTTTTTTTATTTGCACCAGTTCAAGAAAGGGAGAAGTTGGGCTTCTGCAAAGTCTGGATTTTTTCCTCTTTTAATCACAGCTGAATACAAAGTGTCAGTGACTTTTTGGAAACCAGCTAACATCCAGCTCAAAAGAGGAAACTGAATTTCCATAAACAGTTAGTTTCCATGAGCTTCCTGCTGCATGATGAAATCCTTCACTCACTTCACCTTGGGTTTACATCAGGATGGGATTTATTCTGAGTCCATTTGAAAAACTTTTTAACCCTTCAGCTGAGACAAGCTGTACTTCCACTGAAGGGGAAACATTATTTGTGTCTGGCAGACCTACATCCGCAACGTTTAGGGGTCAAAACGACTAAAATTTACATTGTGTATTCATGATGTGTATTCTGCAGTATTCTTAGTCCATGAGGCAGACACCCTGTCTACTTTTAAGGCTAGGCTTAAAACTTTCCTTTCTGATAAAGCTTATAGTTAGAGTGGCTCAGGTTATCATGATCTATCTCTATAGTCATGCTGCTATAGGCTTAGACTGCTGGAGGACATAGGGACCCCTATTTCATCATTCTGCTTCATTCTATCTCTATTCTCCCACTCTGCAGAATCTGTTAGTTCAATCTCTAACGTTCTGCTCTCTCTGCTTTTTCTCATAGTAGCTTCATCTGGTCTGTTCCTGTTTGGCTGTGACTCCATCCTGGAGAAAAATATCAGCTGTGCTGCTGCCATCAACACCTTTATTTATAGATGTTGGAGATCGGCCTGTTTTTCAGTGTAGTCCTGTGTCTCTGACTGTGACTGGGTGGATGTGCTCTCTTCGTCCTCTGACATGGGAGCTGGCTTGGAGCTCGTCTGCCTGGCTGTGTGTTTCCTGGACAGGGCCGCCTTTCACAGCTGCCTTTTGTATTTCTGCTTCTTTTTCTATGTCTGCTTCTGTCTCCTTGAACCCCAGTCAGCCTCAGCAGATGGTCGCTCACACTGAGCCTGGTTCTGCTGGAGGTTTCTTCCTGTTTAAAGGGAGTTTTTCCTCTCCACTGTCGCTACAAGCATGCTTAGTGCGAGGGATTGCTGAAGAGTCAATGAGTCGATGCAATCAACTGGTTTCCCTTAGATAGAAAACTTTGAATCAATCTGACTGGATGATCTGGTGAACTGGAAAGAGCCTTGAGATGACATTTATTGTGAATTGGAAATTATAGAAATAAACTAAATTGAATTGCAGTGTATTGTAGAAATACTTTGAATGGCAGATCTATGCACGACTAAATTTAAAAGATTGAGTGTGCATTGACTTTCAGTAATGCACCTTTTTGTATGATCATCAGGTGTGATGATGAGTATTTACTTTCCTAATATTAAGAGACATCTTTCCATAACTCAACTAAATTCTCCAAACCCAAGATTTCTAACATTGGGGTCGTGACCCCATTAGGGGTCGACGATCAACAAGTAAACTCTACAGAAATTAAACACTAAAAATCATACCGATGAACCATTTCTATGTGTTTAAAGACATAAAAACATCTCCTTGAAATGGACACACCCAAATACAATAGTTGTGGATGTTTTGATGATGTTTTTAATTACTGTTACATCAATGGTTAAAAGAGGTTTTGTATCAATTTATATCAACCAGATAGTTTGAGTCATGAATCTATTCTAGAATGTTTTGTGGCTCAGAAGCCTAAACATTTGGAAACCTAGACGGGTCAAACGTCAGTTCTTGAAATTGAAGACGATACTTTCAATTTTCGACGACTGTAACTAAATGATTTAATTTCCTTAAAGACCGGATGCACTGGTGTGTTTCCAAATTCACCTCATGTTTTTGTAGTGAAATAAGAGCACTTCCTGATTGTCTTTATCTATCTGAACCTAAAATGTTCAAATATTTCCTGGAGATGAATCAAGCACACAGTTCCACAGATTCTCTAAAGATTATAGAGATCGGGAGAACTCCAAATCTCAGTTTCCAACACGTCTGGAGGCTTCGATACCTGATATTGCCCCCAAACACCAGACGTAATTTAGATGTTGGTTTTTAGGGTCAATCTGGTCGATCAGTCATATTCTTAATTTAGTCCAAAAATCATGATTGAAAATTGGACTGTGTCTGATTTGATCCCACTTTAATCCAATGATAGACAAAGTTTGTAACGTCTTTTCAGCAAACTGAAAATCTCAGCTTTTCACTTTTCAACCAAATATAGACATAGTTTGGCCCTAAATCCTGTTGTCTTTACTATGTCTTTTTAACTAGTTTCTGCTCGTTGGTGGAATTCAGCAATACTGAGCAATTTAATTACCATCCATACAAAAAAAAACCCTGGAAGAACAACATTAAAATCTCCTGCGAAAACACTAGAATGTACACCGTCTGTCAGGGTCAAATCAAAACAGTTCTTTATTTATTTCCACAGCAAAATCACACACAGATGGACTGAATGAGCTTCATTTTTGCTCCTAACTGTTGAAGGAAAATCCAAAGACCTTGTCTTTAGACGTGGAATGTAGCAGTTTATTAGTCTGGTCTTGGATTTCAAGAGGTTTCAAAACCATTTAAAATCAGTCACTCTATTGTATCCAAAATAGTCTGGCTGTTAAATGAAGGCTCTTTAAACCCTAAAACGAACCACCAGACTTATGCTTCTCTTGATGAAAATCCATTTCTGGCCAGTATGAAGACGGGGCCGGTTTAAGGTGTGCCATGAGGAACCATTTGTTTTCCTAGAACTGGTGGCTGTTTCAGGACCACACTGATACTGGTAACATCTACCAAGGATTGCTTGGACAGCTTGAAGACTGTAAAGTCCTAACAGCAACCAAATGCTTTGTTTAATAATTTCAACAAGATTTTTTAGGATGGCATGAAACAGGCAGAAATTCCTGAAAGCGTGGAGTGGGACAAACCTTCCTCACACTGATAGACAGTTAGCTACAAGGAGTTTCTCTCATGCTATTTCAAGCAATGGGTTAAGATAAGCTATTACAAGGTAGGATGCACAAACCTTTCCACAGCTAGATAACACTTTTAATGTGAAAATTAAATATTTTTTCTACCTTTATTGGCTTACTGTCAAATCCAGAAAATAATTTAGAATTCTTCCTCATAATTATAAAGCCTTGAATAACAAAACTCCATCTTATATTACGATATCTGATTGTTCCTTATGTTCCTAACAGAGCACTTCGCTCTCAATCTGCAGGTTTACTAGTGGTTCCTAGAATTTCTAAAAGCAGAATGGGAGGCAGATCTTTTAGTTATCAGGCTCCTCTCCTGTGGAACCAACTACCAGTTTTAGTCCGTGAGGCAGACACCCTGTCTACTTTTAAGGCTAGGCTTAAAACTTTCCTTTTTGATAAAGCTTATAGTTAGAGTGGCTCAGGTTATCCTGAGCTATCTCTATAGTTATGCTGCTATAGGCTTAGACTGCTGGAGGACATAGGGACCACCTTTCCTCACTCTCCTTCATTCTAACTTTATTCTTCAAATCTGGTGTATTTATTTAAGCCATAAGTTTATGTTCTTTCTACTTCTTCATCCTGGAGAAAATACAGCAATTAAGTTCTACTATAGAAAATAGAGTTGGATCTTTTCTGTTTTTCTCCTAGATATAGCCATGGGTGTAGTTTTCCTGTGACTAACAGGATGTGCTTCCTTTCATCCCTTTGGACATGAAAACCGACTCATATCTTTTCTGCTTAACTGTATCTTTTCTTTCTCTTTAGCAACCTGTGAAGCTAATTTACCGTTATCTTTTGTAATTTATAAAGTATCTAAAGCTCAGAGCTGGTTCTGTCTCCCTGAACCCCAGTCAGCCATGGCAGACGGCCGCTCACACCGAGACTGGTTCTGCTTTCATCATGTGATGACACACGTTGCAAACTGGCACTATATAAATAAACTAACTAAATTGAGTTTAATTGTTCTGTTAACAAGTAATACAAGCTTCAGTTTTAAGATTGGGGGAAATTGAGGTAATTCCTTTTATAAAAGTAGAAAAAAATGTCTGAAATTTATATGTGAACATTTTCGTTCAAAGAACTTAGTGCTTAACAGGAGGTCCTAAAATTCTTGATACATAGATGTTTTTCTCAAAGCATTAATAAAAGCACCTTTTAGTTAATAAAGTAAAAGGTGTTACTGAAGATTATTGGACAATCAGGCACTGAGTCCTGCAGCAGGTAGGCAGCAGAGACTCAGCAAACGCCTACCTTGGGTCATGTAGACCAGACTTCCTGTAAGTAGAGCCACACAGTTGGTTGGCTGATGGTTGTGCAGGTACTGGAACCCCCAGCCTCGCACATACGACTTCTCATACATGAAGCGCGTTGCGTTGCCTATCACTTGCAGGAAACGCTCCTGCTGGCCTTTATTCAAGTACTCGTACAGGAAGTCGTAGGCGGTGGCAAATCCGACCAAAGAGTGTGCCAAAGGAACTTCATCCCAGGGGGCGTCTTTGACCAACCTGCAACATATGCACAGGAGAAAGTTGGAGGAACGCCATTGGACAGGCAGCTGCATAAGTAAATACAACAACAACACAGTAAAGTCAGCAGGCTTTCTCTTCTGCCAATTAAGTCAAACTATTTGACATAAACAGGAAAACTTAACAATCAAGTAGCACTTTGAAAGCAGAGAAAAACACATCAAGAAGCAATTTAACATGCAGCTGCACCTGAACAGAATCAAAATAAAAATGCAGCATGGGCAGAATTTCTGCTGCTTTATAACAGGCTGGATTCAAAGTGTGCTGATCTGAGGGGATTTTAAAAGAGTTACCTGCCTGGTGTGAAAAACTAAGAGTCCAATTAAAAAGAAATGAACATCAGGTGTGGTGATGAAAGCTGTGGCCCCATATAAACAAACATAATGAAATGTATTAACCAATGGAGGCCTGGATATGGAGTCACTCACACAATGAAAGTGGAAAAACACTACAGGCTGATCCAACTTTGATATATAGTAGCAGCCATTCAAATGCTCAGTTTAATTCTCAGTCAAAGGTCAGCCGAATGGCAGCCCACTTCCCTCCAACTTCCAGCCTCTGGAGTGACCCCCTCTTTCATATTTTTTCCTCTGACTCCACCCTTTCACTGAATTACAGGGTCTGACCATTAGATGATGCTTCTCTTTAGATCTTAATGTCCACAAATTATGACAGAAAGAATATTTTATGTTAATTGTTTATTGATGTTTAAAAAGGAATCCTAGGGGACCAACAAATGACCAGCCAATGACCAGCCAAGGACCAACAAATGACCAGCCAATGACCAGCCAATGACCAGCCAAGGACCAGCCAAGGACCAGCCAATGACCAGCCAAGGACCAGCAAATGACCAGCCAATGACCAGCCAATGAACAGCCAATGACCAGCCAAGGACCAGCCAAGGACCAGCCAAGGACCAGCCAATGACCAGCCAAGGACCAGCAAAGGACCAGCCAAGGACCAGCTAAGGACCAGCCAATGACCAGCAAAGGACCAGCCAAGGACCAGCCAATGACCAGCCAAGGGCCAGCAAAGGACCAGCAAATGACCAGCCAATGACCAGCCAAGGACCAGCAAAGGACCAGCTAAGGACCAGCCAAGGAGAAGCTAAGGACCAGTAAATGACCAGCCAATGACCAGCCAATGAACAGCCAATGACCAGCCAAGGACCAGCCAAGGACCAGCCAAGGACCAGCAAATGACCAGCAAAGGACCAGCTAAGGACCAGCCAAGGACCAGCAAAGGACCAGCTAAGGACCAGCCAAGGAGAAGCTAAGGACCAGTAAATGACCAGCCAATGACCAGCCAATGAACAGCCAATGACCAGCCAAGGACCAGCCAAAGACCAGCCAAGGACCAGCCAAGGACCAGCAAATGACCAGCCAATGACCAGCCAAGGACCAGCAAATGACCAGCCAATGACCAGCAAAGGACCAGCTAAGGACCAGCCAAGGAGAAGCTAAGGACCAGTAAATGACCAGCCAATGACCAGCCAATGAACAGCCAATGACCAGCCAAGGACCAGCCAAGGACCAGCCAAGGACCAGCCAAGGACCAGCAAATGACCAGCAAAGGACCAGCTAAGGACCAGCCAAGGACCAGCAAAGGACCAGCTAAGGACCAGCCAAGGAGAAGCTAAGGACCAGTAAATGACCAGCCAATGACCAGCCAATGAACAGCCAATGACCAGCCAAGGACCAGCCAAAGACCAGCCAAGGACCAGCCAAGGACCAGCCAAGGACCAGCAAATGACCAGCAAAGGACCAGCTAAGGACCAGCCAAGGACCAGCAAAGGACCAGCTAAGGACCAGCCAAGGAGAAGCTAAGGACCAGTAAATGACCAGCCAATGACCAGCCAATGAACAGCCAATGATCAGCCAATGAACAGCCAATGACCAGCCAAGGACAAGCCAAGGACCAGCAAATGACCAGCCAAGGACATGCCAAGGACCAGCCAATGAACAGCCAATGACCAGCCAAGGACCAGCAAAGGACCAGCAAATGACCAGCCAATGAACAGCCAAGGACCAGCCAAAGACCAGCCAAGGACCAGCCAAGGATTAGCCAAGGACCAGCAAATGACCAGCCAATGACCAGCCAAGGACCAGCAAAGGACCAGCAAATGACCAGCCAATGACCAGCCAAGGACCAGCAAAGGACCAGCAAATGACCAGCCAATGACCAGCCAAGGACCAGCAAAGGATCAGCAAAGGACCAGCCAATGACCAGCCAAGGACCAGCCAAGGACCAGCAAATGACCAGCCAATGACCAGCCAAGGACCAGCAAAGGACCAGCAAATGACCAGCCAATGACCAGCCAAGGACCAGCAAAGGACCAGCAAATGACCAGCCAATGACCAGCCAAGGACCAGCCAAGGACCAGCCAAGGACCAGCAAATGACCAGCCAATGACCAGCCAAGGACCAGCAAAGGACCAGCAAATGACAAGCCAATGACCAGCCAAGGACCAGCAAATGACCAGCCAATGACCAGCCAATGAACAGCCAATGACCAGCCAAGGACCAGCCAAGGACCAGCAAATGACCAGCCAATGACCAGCCAATGAACAGCCAATGACCAGCAAATGAACAGCCAATGACCAGCCAAGGACCAGCCAAGGACCAGCAAATGACCAGCCAAGGACCAGCAAATGACCAGCCAAGGACCAGCCAAGGACCAGCCAATGACCAGCCAATGACCAGCCAAGGACCAGCCAAGGACCAGCCAATGACCAGCCAAGGACCAGCCAAGGACCAGCCAAGGACCAGCTAAGGACCAGCCAATGACCAGCCAAGGACCAGCCAATGACCAGCCAAGGACCAGCCAATGACCAGCTAAGGACCAGCTAAGGACCAGCCAATGACCAGCCAATGACCAGCCAAGGACCAGCCAATGACCAGCCAATGACCAGCCAAGGACCAGCCAAGGACCAGCCAAGGACCAGCCAATGACCAGCCAAGGACCAGCCAAGGACCAGCCAAGGACCAGCCAAGGACCAGCCAAGGACCAGCCAATGACCAGCCAAGGACCAGCCAATGACCAGCTAAGGACCAGCCAAGGACCAGCCAAGGACCAGCCAAGGACCAGCCAAGGACCAGCCAAGGACCAGCTAAGGACCAGCCAATGACCAGCCAAGGACCAGCCAAGGACCAGCCAAGGACCAGCCAAGGACCAGCCAAGGACCAGCCAATGACCAGCCAAGGACCAGCCAATGACCAACCAAGGACCAGCCAAGGACCAGCCAATGACCAGCCAAGGACCAGCTAAGGACCAGCCAATGACCAGCCAAGGACCAGCCAAGGACCAGCCAAGGACCAGCCAAGGACCAGCCAAGGACCAGCCAAGGACCAGCCAAGGACCAGCCAAGGACCAGTTAAGGACCAGCCAATGACCAGCCAAGGACCAGCCAATGACCAGCCAAGGACCAGCCAAGGACCAGCCAAGGACCAGCCAAGGACCAGCCAATGACCAGCCAAGGACCAGCCAAGGACCAGCCAATGACCAGCCAAGGACCAGCCAAGGACCAGCCAATGACCAGCTAAGGACCAGCCAATGACCAGCCAAGGACCAGCCAATGACCAGCCAAGGACCAGCCAAGGACCAGCCAAGGACCAGCTAAGGACCAGCCAAGGACCAGCCAAGGACCAGCCAATGACCAGCCAAGGACCAGCCAATGACCAGCCAAGGACCAGCCAAGGACCAGCCAAGGACCAGCCAAGGACCAGCTAAGGACCAGCCAATGACCAGCCAAGGACCAGCCAATGACCGGCTAAGGACCAGCCAAGGACCAGCCAAGGACCAGCCAATGACCAGCCAAGGACCAGCCAAGGACCAGCCAAGGACCAGCTAAGGACCAGCCAAGGACCAGCCAAGGACCAGCCAAGGACCAGCCAAGGACCAGCCAAGGACCAGCCAAGGACCAGCCAAGGACCAGCCAATGACCAGCCAAGGACCAGCCAAGGACCATCCAAGGACCAGCCAAGGACCAGCCAAGGACCAGCCAAGGACCAGCCAAGGACCAGCCAAGGACCAGCCAAGGACCAGCCAAGGACCAGCCAATGACCAGCCAAGGACCAGCCAAGGACCAGCCAAGGACCAGCCAAGGACCAGCCAAGGACCAGCCAAGGACCAGCCAAGGACCAGCCAAGGACCAGCCAAGGACCAGCCAAGGACCAGCCAAGGACCAGCCAAGGACCAGCCAAGGACCAGCCAAGGACCAGCCAAGGACCAGCCAAGGACCAGCCAAGGACCAGCCAAGGACCAGCCAAGGACCAGCCAATGACCAGCCAAGGACCAGCCAAGGACCAGCCAAGGACCAGCCAATGACCAGCCAAGGACCAGCCAAGGACCAGCCAAGGACCAGCCAAGGACCAGCCAATGACCAGCTAAGGACCAGCCAAGGACCAGCCAATGACCAGCCAAGGACCAGCCAATGACCAGCCAAGGACCAGCCAAGGACCAGCCAAGGACCAGCCAAGGACCAGCCAATGACCAGCCAAGGACCAGCTAAGGACCAGCCAAGGACCAGCCAAGGACCAGCCAATGACCAGCCAAGGACCAGCCAATGACCAGCCAAGGACCAGCCAATGACCAGCCAAGGACCAGCCAATGACCAGCCAAGGACCAGCCAAGGACCAGCCAATGACCAGCCAAGGACCAGCCAAGGACCAGCCAATGACCAGCCAAGGACCAGCTAGGGACCAGCCAAGGACCAGCCAAGGACCAGCCAATGACCAGCCAAGGACCAGCCAATGACCAGCCAAGGACCAGCCAAGGACCAGCCAATGACCAGCCAAGGACCAGCTAAGGACCAGCCAATGACCAGCCAAGGACCAGCCAATGACCAGCCAAGGACCAGCCAAGGACCAGCTAAGGACCAGCCAATGACCAGCCAAGGACCAGCCAAGGACCAGCCAAGGACCAGCCAAGGACCAGCAAATGACCAGCCAATGACCAGCCAAGGACCAGCCAAGGACCAG